ACTTACAGAATAAAATAGATCCCAATACGATAATACTAGAAGATTTAATATCCCACTTTCACCAAAGGACAGGTCTACCAACCAGAGGATTGGCAAAGAAGCTACCGAATTAAGTAAGGCCATACTTCAAGCGAAACTAACAGACATCTACCGAGTATTTCACCCTAAAACAACACAGTACACATTCTTCTCGGCAGTTCATGGAACTTTCTCCAAAATAGACTATATCATAGTTCATGCAAGGAACTTAAGCAAATACAAGTGGATTGACATAATCCCCTGTATCCTATCTGACCACACTGAATCAAGCTAGTTCTCAATAACAAAGCGTACCGCAGTAATTACTCAAATATATGGAAATTGAAGAGCACATTTCTAAGCAACACCTGGGTAACAGTAGAAATTAGAGAAGAAATTAAAAAGTTCCTACAATTCAATGAAAATGAAGACACATCACAAAGAAAGGGACATAGCAAAAGTAGTCCTGAGGGGCAAATTTATGGCCCTCAGTGCCCACATCAAGAAAATAGAGACAGACCAATAAATAATCTCATGTTGCAATTAAAACAGCTAGAAAATCATGACAAAAATGGAACCTAAAGTTACTAGACAGAGCCAGATAATCAAATTAAGAGTGGAAATTAATGAGATAGAGAATAGGAAAATTATAAATAAAATTAATAAAAACAAAAAGCTGGTTCTTTGAATAAATAAATAAATAAATTGATAGACCTGTGGCAAGATTAATTAAGAAAGGAAGAGAGGAAACCCAAATTAACAAGATCAGGGATGCCACAGGAAAAAAATCACAGGTACCCAAGATATCCAAACAATTATTAAGGACTATTTTCAAAAGTTATACTCTAAAGGCAGAAAACCTAACAGAAATGGATGCATTTTTAGAGATATACAAGTTGCCCAAACTGATAAAAGAAGAAGTAAATCAAATAAATAAGCCAATATCTTACAACAATATACAGGAAGCAATCAGAAGTCTTCCAACAAGGAAAAGCCCAGGACTAGACCTTTAAAGAAGAACTGATACCCATACTCTTCAAGCTCTTCAGAGAAACAGAGGAGTGAGGGATCCCAAACTCATTCTACGATGCCAATATCACACTCATCCCCAAACCAAGCAAAGACAAAACCAAAACATAGAACTACAGACCAATCTCTTTGATGAACCCCCCCAAAATAAAATATTTAGGAATTAACCTAACCAAACATGTAAAAGAACTATTTAATGAAAACTATAAAAACTTAAAGAAAGAAATTACAGAAGACACTAGGAAATGGAAAGACCTTCCATGTTCTTGGATAGGCAGACTTAATATAGTGAAAATGGCAATACTGCCAAAATTAATATACAAATTCAATGCAATTCCTATTAAAATCCCAATGACGTACATTTCTGAAATACAGAAAACAGTCCAAAAATTCATATGGAACAACAAAACACCTAGAATAGCCAAAACAATTCTAGGCAAAAAAGACAACATGGGAGGGATTTCAATGCCGGACTTCAAACTCTACTATAGAGCCATAATAACAAAGACAGCATGGTATTAGCATAAAAACAGACCCGAAGACCAATGGAATAGAATAGAAGATCCAAAAATAAAACCACATACCTACAGTCAGCTGATATTTGACAAAGGAGCCAAAGACATACAGTGGAAGAAACACAGCCTCCTCAACTACTGGTGCTGGGAAAACTGGGTGGTTACATGCAGAAAACTAAAAGTGGACCCCAGCCTATCACCATGCACCAACATCAACTCAAAATGGATTAAAGACCTTAACATCAAACCTGAATCTCTGAAACTACTGCAGGACAGAGTAGGAGAGACACTTGAACTTATAGGCACAGGAAGGAACTTCCTGAACAGAGTCCCAGGGTCACAACAAATTGGAGAGAGACTTGGCAAATGGGACTACCTTAAAATAAAAAGTTTCTGCACAGCTAAAGCTATAGCAACCAAGCTAGAAAGACAACCAACTAACTGGGGAAAATATTTACCAACAATATATCAGACAAGGAGTTAATATCCAGTATATACAGGGAACTCAAGAAACTAATCCCTCCCAAACCTAACAAACCAATTACTAAATGGGGAAGGGAACTAAAGAGAGACTTCTCAGAAGAGATAAAAATGGCAAAAAAAAACACATGAGGAAATGTACACCATCCATGGCTGTGAAGGAAATGCAAATAAAGATAACCCTGAGATACCACTTTATCCCAGTCAGAATGGCCCACATCCTCAAGTCAGCCAACAACTAATGCTGGAGGGGATGCGGAGGAAGAGGAACCCTATTACACTAGGAAGAGGAACCCTATTACACTGCTGGTGGCAATGTACACGTATACAACCACTTTGGAAAGCAGTCTGGAGGGTCCGCAGAAAGCTAAAGATTGACCTCCCTTATGACCCAGTCATACCACTTCTAGGCATCTATCCTGAACAAAAGGAACCAGTATAAAAGGACACATGCACCTCCATGTTTATTGCAGCACTGTTCACAATAGCTAGGATATGGAAAAAACCAGAAGTCCCACCACAGATGAGTGGATCCAAAAATTGTGGTATCTATACACAATGGAATATTAAGCAGCCATTAGAAAGGACAAAATAATGGCATTTGCAGGGAAATGGATGGAGCTAGAAGTCATGTTGAGCTAAGTAAGCCAAGTGCAAAGAGACAAACGACACATGGTCTCCCTGATAAGTGGATATTAAATCCAAAATGTAAGGTGATACGACAAAATTAACAAGATTTAAGAAACAAAAGACTTCCACTGATCTGGTTGAATCACTATTAAATAAGCCCATGCTGCTGATCACATATATGGTATATATGTGCACACCAGAGGGAAACCAGAAGGATGACACAGAACTGGAGGGAATCAGGGGAAAGCACCCAACAGCGGGACCCATCAGCTGCACTGGACATTGACCAAAATGAACTAAGTAACTCAATGGCAGTGATGGGAGGGAGGGAACAAGAGGGAAAGAGGGAACAGCTGATGCTATACAAAACAAATGTACATATCACCCAATGAGAAAGAAATAACTATTGCAAAGCTCATAGAACTCATAACAGACCATAACAATTTGCTCCATGAAAAGTTAGAATGTCTTTGTGACTTTAAATATCCCACAATACTATGAAAAATGATGTAAACACTTAATCACAATAAAAATTTGAAAAAAATCATATGAACGAACTTTATTGAAAAACATTCCCTGAAAACCACTGAGATGACAAGGCAGATAGGAACTGCCTGTGGCCACTAGAGGCCCTCACCTGTTGCCCCCACTGTGGAGGAAGGGGGTGAAAATGACCACAAGGCACTCGAGAGTGGGCAAGAGGGGCAGCAGCAGAGGGAGACGAGCAGCACACAGGAGGCCAGGGTGGAGGCTGCAGCTTGTCTGGAGAAACCTCAGACGTCCAGGACTGGCCTCTGGTTGGTGCTTCCTGCCTTCTGGTGGCATGAGCTAAACGCACGGTGCACGGTGACCGAGCAGCGGTGCCAAATACAGTCACTTTCTGAACGACCTCAAACTCAAACCCAAACGTGTCACCTCCCTGCCCTCAGGCCCAGAGAGGACGATTGATGGAAGCCCATCAGACAGTCACAGACTCACCTGCACGCGCATGATGCCGCACAGGCCTGTTGTGCTCAGGGGAAAGGCACAGCGCTTCCATGGGCTAGCTGACTGGCGTTAGCCCCCGCCCGGCCTTTGTCTCTGGTCCTGCTGCTCCACTCAGAAGGGGTTCCTGGTCCCCAGTAGGTCACATGAGCGAAGTCCGGCCCATCCACATGCCCAGACATGCTTCAAGTGGTAGGATGGGGTTGGAGACCTGTTGGCCAGCAGGGTCAGCTGTACCGGGGTCAAACACCTCTGAACCCTAAACCCCACAAGGAGCGACTGGCAGGAGTGGCAAATCTCACACCCAGGCTGCTCGGGTTTGCCAACCCGGGGTTATAATGGTGACCTCTGACCTGTCTGAGGCCCCCAAGTACTCCCTTTCCCCTTCCTCTCACTGTGCTGCCAGGGACCGTGGGGCCTCCATCTTCCCTACTGCCTCACAAATCTACTTCTTCCACACCCCACCTTCTCCCTGAGGGCTCTCTACGTTGTGGGAAGCTAGAAAGCCACTTCTGCCAAAGGCGCCCCAAATCCCGCTGCCTGGGTCTACCCACCCAGTGGCTCCCAGCAGCTCGCGCTCGCAAATCCTATCCTGCATATCCCCGGATGTTAGCCAGGAAGCCAGGTTTCCATTCCAGCAGAGAGAAGCCTCGGCAGGGACCCGGTCAAAACTTTCCTGAATACAAACTTCTTGCAGAAACTACTGGAAAGGGATTCCACCAGGTACTCTAAAACGCTTGATCAACTTACACCCAGGGCCACCCGAATACTCAGGGAAGCCAGGCAGCTACCAGCCCCGAAGAGCACCAGCATGCTGTGGCCTGGCCAACTGCTGCTCACCGAGTGGATCGCACAGCCCCTTGCAGATGAGGTCCCCGACATCCTGAAGATCACCCCAGAACCCAGTACTCCCCCAACCCCCATGTTCACATCCCAGCAGAGAGGAGACGCGGCAGCAACACACACAAACACACTTTATTGAACATGCTTCAAAGAGCTGCGGACCTCCCGCTAGGATTTCCTTTCCCGAGACCCCCGAGATCAGCCCCGAGCTCAGGAGGATGGCCTTCTGCAATGCCCATCCATCCGCTTCCGAAGGCCCTCTGCGGAGAGCAACCACCGTGCAGTGGCCCTGCCCCAGAGCAGCTGGACACAGGGCAGTGCCCGGCACGGTGAAGCCAAGAGGGAAACATCTTATCTAGACAAATAATGGCAACTGAATAAACAGAACAAAGAGAAGCAGAACACCAAAACACCGTATTCACAACACCCCCTCCCCCCGGGTCCAGTTCTTCTCGTCCAGTGTCAGAAGTCCTGGTGAGGGGTGAGCATCAAACCACTCGCTCACTCGTCGTCGTCGTCTTCATCGTCCACTCTTTTCTGCTGGCACCTGGCCTTGGGCTGGAGAACCAGCGGCAGGCATCCGGGCTAAATCTACAGCGAGAAAGCAGAGGTTGGATTCCCAGCCGCAGCCAGGAGAGCAAGCGAGAGCTCTGGCTGGCATGGGGAGCTGCGCACACGTGCCCCACACAGGGAGGTGGCTGACCCATTGGGCCGGGACCTCCCCTCGGGGCTGGACACTGGTGGCCTCTCCACCTGAACACCTCCCAGTCTGGTCTTCAGGCACCCCTGATCGTGGTAGGAGCTGGTCCTTCACCGGGGTGTCCAGGCTGGCTGCCTGACCGGGTGGGGGTTTGGGGCTGAGTGTGGGGGGGGGAGGGGGAGGCGGCCCTCCCTGCCCACCTGGGTGGCCAACGTGGCCATCAGGCTGTGGGGAAGGGTCGCTGGTTTGGGGCTTTTCCCCGGCCTCGCCTCCCAGGCTCCCTGGTGCTGCCGCCTGAGAAGAGGATTCGTGGTGACTGACCTGCCCGAGCTCGTCCTCGTCGTCATCGTCCTCCTCCTCCTCCTCGGACTCGAGGATGTTCTCCACGATGTCCTCGAGCTCCCCCAGGTGATACTGCTGGGACTCCTCAGCCTCCTGCTCTGCTGCCCGGAGGAGGCTCTGTGGCTCCCAGCCAGGCCCTCCCGGGCCCTCCCCACAAGCAAGGCCCATCTGGGCGAGGCCGGGGGCGCCGGGAGCCTCGGTGGATGCTGCCTGGCTCAGGCCTGCAGGCACAGTGGCATCTTCTCCCTCGCGAGCGGTGGCCTCTCTGGTGCCAGGGGAGGCGGCTGCCCGCGTGGCGTCATCGGTGTCGGCAGTCTGGTCAGGGTCAGGCTCGGCAGCAGCTCCGTCTCCGTGGGCACACACGGCGGCCCCGCGGGCACCGTCGCTGCCTGCGGGGCCCTGGGGGGCCCCTTCAGCGGCCGGGGCGGACTCGGCAGCAGCAGCTCCGTGGGCGCACACAGCCTGGGCGACAGCCAGACCACCGCTCTGCCCCCTGGCTCCTACCTCTCCGTGGGCCCGCTCATTCCTAGCCAGGCCCGCCTCCCACGCCTCGGTCTCCCGCACTAGCCGCAGCAGCCCCACAAACCCCGGGGGCCTCCGCTCCAGCCTCAACCTCCTCAGGTTGTTCTGGAGCACGCGGTTGGGCCGGGCTCGCATCAGCACCTGGCGGGCTCGCACCTGGTCGGCGACCGCTGGGTGGATGGCCCCCTTCTCCATGGCCATCTGCAGCAGGCCTTCCAGGCGCATCACGTAGGCAAACAGAGTCTCCCGCGGCCGCTGGGAGCACGTCAGGAACTTCAGCCTCGCGGTCATCCGGGTGTCCTTGTTCCCAAACACCTGCACGAGCGCGCCCAGGCAGTCCTGCGCGGGGGTGTCGGGGTGCTCCTCCAGGAGCCCGCACAGGAGATCCAGGGCGGGCCCGCCCAAGCTCTCCACCAGCCGCCGCCTCCGCTCCCGCTCGGAGATGTAGCGCCACAGGTACAGCATGTCGTTGGCATGGTCCAGCCAGCTCTCGAAGGACTCTTCCCCACAGCCTGGCTCTTCCCGCCCGGAGAACGGTCTCAGTTCCTGATAGGCCATGTTTTCCAGGATCGGCTGCAGGGCCTGGCTCCACTGCTGGGCCCAGGCGCCGGACGCATCGGTCCCTCGGGCTGCATCGAAGGCGCCTTCCTCACCCGGCACGCCCGCCTCGCCCGCTGCACCCGCCACACTCACGACCCCCATCACCCCTGCGAAGCCCATGTCGCCCCCAGCGCCCTCCTCATCCGACACTCTGGCCTCACCCGCCGCTCCGGGGGCTCCGGGGGCCCCCGCGCCCCCCATCGCGCCCCCCGCTGCGCCCACGCCCCCTGCTTCTCCCTCAGCACCTTCGGCTCCGGAGATGCCTGCTCCTTCTTCCTCACCGGAAGCCCCTTCCTCACCGGAGAGCTCTGCCACAGGGGGGGTTCCTTTCTCATCTAACGCTTCCTCCTCAGCCGCCTCTTCTGCCTCACCCAGAACTCCGGCCTCCGCCCCAGCGCCAGCCTCGGCTGGGGCTCCTCCTTCACCGGCAGCTGCTCCCTCACCCGGATCTTCTGCCTCGCCTCCCAAGCCTTCCTGCAGCGCGTCGCTGTCGCTGTCGCTGCTGTCCTCCGCCAAAGCCCAGGGCGCCCGGCCGAGGCGTTTCCCCACGCCCGCTACTCTGCTGGCCCACGAGACGCCCTCATCCCCATCTCTCTCCTCGCTCCCAGCCCTGCCCTTGGCACCCACGGCCACCCCCTCGCCTTCACCAGCTCCTCCCCGGACCCCGGGGCCTCCCTCGCCTCCTTCCTCCTCTCCGCTCTCTTGGCTCTCAGGCCCGGATCCCGCCTCCTCCCCCCATCCTCCTTCACTCCCAGAGCCTTCCTCATCCGCAGAGCCTTCCTCGCCCCCGGAGGCCCCACGGCGGCCAGCTCCTTCACCCTCCTCACCACGGGCGCCTTTCCCGGCCCCAGCTCCTCCTCCCGCAACCTGGGGAGCTTTCTGGCCTTCGGTTCTCTCCCCGCCTGCCACCCCTTCCTCGCCCCCACCACCGGCCTTGCCCCCCACTCCTTCACCGGGCTCTGCTTCCGGGCCTCCAGCTCCGTCCTCACTCCCAGATTCTTCTCCGTCCCCATCTCCCTCCTCGCCCTCACCCTCGCCTCCAGTTTCTTCGCCCGCCGTCCCCATCCCTTCCTTGTCCCCAGACCTTTCCTCCCCGCCACCCGTTTCCTCAACCTCGCTTCCGTCGTCCTCCTCAGATCCTTCCTCGCCTCCACTGCCGTCCTCCTCCCCGGATCCTCCCTCACTGCCGTCCTCCTCGCCGGACCCGTCCTCGCCTCCATCGCTGCTCCCGTCCTCCTCCCGGGATCCTCCCTCACCTTCCCCGCTTCCGTCCTCCTCCCCGGACCCGTCCTCGCCTTCCTCGCTTCTGTCCTCCCCTCCGGACCCGTCCTCGCTCCCACCTCCTTCCTCACAGTCCTCCTCGCCGCCAGCTCCATCTCGGCCTGCGGCTCCGTCCTCACTCCAAGACGACGTCTCCTCACTCCCGGATCCTTCCTCGTCTCCATCTCCTTTCTCGTCCCCGGTCCCTTCCTGGCCCTCAGCTCCTCCTTTGCCCTTAGCAGCTTCCTTTCCCCGCGGTCCCTCCTTGTCCCCACCTTGGGCCTCAGCTTCAGCTCCTTCCTCACCTCCCGCACCTGCCACTGCCACCGCCGCCGTGCCTTCTGGTCCTTTCTCGGATGCCACTCTCTCCTCATCCCCAGCTCCCTTCTCTGCTCCAAACTCCTTAAGCCCCCCAGCTCCTTCCTCCCCCGCGGCTCTTTTCTCATCCCCGGCTCCTTGACCCCCAGCGGCAACCCCCCCCACGGGACCGCCTGCCACGCGGGCCATTCCTTTGTCACCTAAGGGGACCCAGCCCGCGTCTCCCGCCTCCTCAGACGCGCCTTCCTCACCCACCACCGCAGCCACCCCAGATGCCCCGTGCCCCTCGGGCAATGCGCCACCGGGGCTGTCCTGGGCCTCGGCCTCCCGGGCGTGCGGCAGGAAGGCCACAGGCCACAAAGCCCCGCTGCCTGCTATGGCTTGGGGGATCAGATTTCGGTTTAAACGCTCAGCAAACTCCACCAAAGCCACCCTGGTGCCCAGCTCCTTTCTGAAGGCCCTGCAGAGCACCCGGTAGCTGCCCAGAGGCTGCAGGGAAGCCTGCACCGCCTCCTGGAATTCACCCTCCTGGCACTCCTCGGGAATGTCCAGGATGAGCAGCGAGCGCCGGGTGTCGGCGCCCACCGACTGGCACCACTCCTTCAGCATCTCCAGCACCTTAGCAGTGGGTGTGGGGGGCGGAGGCATGGTGGGCGGGGGGCGGGAGCTCACTGTGCGGGTCTCTCGGGTGCCCTGGGGGTGCAAAGGGGAGGAAGGCCTGGTTGGAGCCAGACAGCTCAGAGCCAGCCCCTGCCACCCTTCTCCACGAGCTCCTGCTCCCCTGTCTCGGCTGGCTGCTTCTGCTTTGCAGGAAGCTTTCTCAAAGCGAGGTAAAGCTGCTGGCGAGATACAGGGCTAGCCACACTCGGTTCTATCCGGTGGCAGTTGGCTTCTTGATGACCCCTCCGCACCCACCTCCAAGAAACGCGCCAGCTCCTACATTTTCAAAAGCATCGCTCTCTCTTCAGGGTGTGTCTGACCTGCTACCAGGTCCCCGCTCATTCCTGATACGCTACTGCCACTCACTGCTTGCCCTCTTTGGTCTCACTATCAGTGGTGTTGCAAACCTTGTACCCTCTGCAAAGATCCGACTTTCCCTTCTGCACAGACTCCTACGCAGGGTGGAACCCAAAGCCTCATGCTGGTTACGCTTACTTGCTCACTGGTCCACCGCGGTCCACCGCGCTTCTGACTTCCGCTGGGGAACTGCGGACCGAGTGTCTCACAAACGGCTGCCCGGCGAGGCCCGGGCAGCTGGGAGCGGGTTGGTGCCTGGGTCAAGTTGGAAACCGCCTCCCAAGTTCTCCTGATGCTTTCCTCGTTGACCTGTGGGATGGCAAATACGTACACCTGTTATCCTTCTTCATTTCAAGGGCAATTTCACGCCAACCCTCTCTAGGGTCGAGTAGAAATGCCATGCGCTTACATTTCAGGAAAACATTTTCAGCCCCGAAAGTTGCCCAGGCGTTTGTGGGCTGAAGCTAGGCTCCAGCCTCTTCAGCTGCTACCGGTGCCATGGTCACTGGAAGTGAGTACGCAGGGACAATGCCCACTGCCTCACTTTCCTCTAGGTACACGCCTTCCCTGCAGCACTTCAGGAAGAGCAGCTGAAGGTGCAAGCAGCCACAGGACGTGGTCATCTCCCCTTCTGCCGACCGGACCAGGCGGGCAGTCAGGCATTGAAGGCCTCGCCCCCCAACTAAGTAGCAAGGCCTACCCTCCTATCTCACCTCTACGCCCCCCCCACCCCCGCTGCGTTCTTGCTGAAGGGCCTGGCGGTGCCCTGCCCACTGGGTGGACTGGGTCTCCGCCTGAGACTCCAGTCACAGGAGGTGCCCAGCCTCGTGGAACGGTAAGCTTCAAGGACACTGGATGAGGCTGGGGTGCAAAGACTTTGGACAACCTTGGCCTTCCTGGCTCTGCCCAGCTCACCAGCCAGGAAGCCTTTCCCTGTGGCCAGCTCAGAGTCTGCCTATGCTGTCCCTCCTCCCCGCATCCGTGAGGTGAGGCTCTCCAAAGTAGTCCTTCCTGTTGGCTTGTCAAGGCCCCCATTACTTAAGGAGGTGGGCTTCACGTCAGAGTCCTCCTCCCAAGGGGCGTCTGGTCCGAGGCCTCCCCTTGCTGACCCCACGACCCTAGGCACTGGAAGAATCCTACTAGACCCGAAGCCTGTGCTCCCCGAAGTGGTGATGGAGGGGCTGCAGGTGTGGAGACCTTACTTGTGGGGATCCAATGTCGCCCAAGTACAACCCACTTGCCCTGACGCTAAACTCCGTTTCTGCCCTGCTCCCCTCACTCCACCCCCAGATGGCATACCAGGCTCTGCATGGCCTGCAAACTTCTTCACACACTCAGACCCACACTCCATGCGGGCCCCTAAATGTCCTCAAAAACTGCCACTCGAGGCTCATGCGGCCACCCAGGCTCCACAAACCTCCTCACCGACTGAGACCCAGGCTGCGCGCGGCCTACAAACCTCACGGCCTGAGCTCCTCATGACCTGAGACCCAGGATCCGTGATTCCCACAAACCTCCTCAAACCCCAAGCCCCAGGCTCCAAGGCCGGAAAACCTCTTCAAATTTTGGGGCCCGGCCTCCAAAAGGCCCGCTAACCGCCGCGGCTCTACTCCCACCCTGCGGAGCGTCCAGAGCCGTAGGCCGACTGGCCGTCAGTGGCCCCGGTAGCCGCACCTCCCGCTCCGGCCCGGCCTTGGCCGCGGCCTCACCCGGCTGCCCAGCCTGGGCTCTGCCGCACCCACCCCGCACTAGGCCCCGGGCCGGGCCCTGACCACCAGGCCGCGCCATGCTCCCACAGCCCCCCGCAGCTCCCAGCCCGTGTTCCACCTGCCCCGAGCCCCCGACCCAGACCCTCACCCACCGACAAGAGCACGACGGCCCACCTGCCCTTCCTCGGAGCCTTCACTGTAGTGCGGCCGGCGGGCCGGCCCGAGACCCACTGCCTCCACCCGCGGGCCCGACGCGGCCGGAGCCCTCACCCCACCGCCCCTCACGCCGCCCCAATTCTCAGGCCCCAGTCCCCGTTCCGCACCCGCCAGCTCCTCAACTACGTTCGGGGACCCCGTGGGGATAGTGGTGCCGCCCCACACCCTCACAGCCCGGGCCCGGACACACTTTTGCCACTCTGGGGTCCCGTGCCACAGGACTGGTCGAACGGCCGACTCCCACACGTGAGGAGAAGACTGTTCCAACCGCCTCCGCAGCCCCTGCCTGGACAGGTCTGGACCGGTTCTAACCAGTTGGGAGCGCGTGACCCAACGGACAAACCAGGGAGCGCGGGAGTTCCCAGAGCTCCGCCCCTTTCCCCCAGAAAACCCCGCTCTTCCCAGAATCCTGCACTGCCTCTTCTACCTCTTCCCCACCCCACCCAGCAACCCTACACACAAACCAATGAGTGCGCGAGTTCCCGGAGCCCCGCCCCTTTCCTCCAGAAACCCTTGCTTCTCCCAGAAGCCTCCACCACCCTTTGTACCCCCCTCCCCACCTTCCCCCACCCTGCCACTCTATCGCCAAAGCAAGGAGAGTGCGCGTTCCCAGAGCCCCGCCCCTTTCCCCAGAAAACCCCTCTTCTTCCAGAAGCATCTACCACGTCTTCTCCGCCCTCCCCATCGCACCCAGCAGCCCTGCCAAGGAACCAATGAGTGCGGGAGTTCCCGGAGCCCCGCCCCTGCCCCAGAAAGCTCCGCTTCTCCCAGAAGACGCCACCACCCCTTGTAAACCCTCCCCACCGCTCCCAGGGACCCTACCCACAAAGCAAGCAACGCGGGAGTTGCCAAGCCCCACGCCTTTCCCCCAGAAAGCCCCGCTTCTCCAGGAAGCCTCCACCACCGCCCCACGTCTTCGCTGCCCACCACTCACCGGGCAAAGCACCAGCAAGGTCCCCAGAGCTCTGGAAGGGGGGCCAGCGTCTGGCCCACGTGACCCGAGCCTTGGTCCCTGAGGCGGCGCCACTGGCGCTCGGCCCCCTCTGCACAAGGGAGAGCGAAGGGCGGGGCGCTCCCGCCTCCAGCGCTGAGCCGCCATCACACAGCCACAGGCTGGCTCCCGTCTGCGGGACGGACTCACATCCCCAGGATGCTTATGTCTGGCTTCCCTCCCACTACACCTGCCAACCCGAGAACTCGGACAGGGGCAGCGCAGGAGCCCCACAGAGTGTCGGCTCTCACCCAGTTTGCCACTGCCCTCTCCACTGCGCGTCCCCACTGCAAGCACCTAGCCTAGCCACTACTACCGCCACTGCGCTCATCACCCTCCTTTGCTTTGAGCACTTAACTTTGATCTTCCCAGTTTCTCAGCCTGCCCTTGGACTGCACCGTCATTCTGCCTCCTCTTACCACCACCACCCTCGCCTATTCAAGCCGGATCTCTGGGTGTCTTCCTTGTTACATCCACACTGACAACCTCTGCCTTTTAATTGCAGTTTTTAGGCCAATACACTTTATTGCACCCAAGATAGTAGATTCAGCCTTACAGCCCTGACCTAGCACCCACAAGGCCAGGCTTAGGGTTCCATCTCTACACAACATACACATTAGACTTCATTATGACTGCCATTATTATTATTACCTGTAGTTACTTGTGTCAAGGACTTTCAACTGCACCTATCAATTTCCAGTACATTGCATCGTGATCAAGGCCACAGGTTTATGAAGTGAAAGTAAGGAGACAGTAGAGCTCCAAGGCCTGGAGGGAGAATGGGTTCTGGGACAACTTCCAGCTCGTAGGACTTGAGGAGAGGGTCAGCAGGTACCTCCTGCAGGAGGGATCCTGCAAGATTGACAGTTTTGAATGGCAGGTGGTGGTCATGTGACAGCTTTTCAACCGCTCATAGCCAACCCACAAAGCATTCAGTAGTAATGATGAAAATGATATGCAGGGCAGAAACATGAAGCCTTGATTTGGGGTTTCTCCAGAAACTGTTGCAGCCCTCTCCTCGTAGGCGTGGATCTTGGTGACACAGTCCACATCCCTGGAGGGAACATGCAGGTGATGAGGAGGTGCCACCCATTGGGCAACCTCAGAACCAGGCACATACAACTTTATGCAAGCCTTGGGACAGGGTTTTGGAGGTGACCTTGGACTGTTCCTGTAGGCAGGGGTGGACTCCTGAGCCAGGCTCACAGGTGGCCCTCAAGCCCATGGACCCTGTTTGATCCTCCTTTCTGCCACAGAGACTCATCCCCACTTCGGCCCATCCATCGTCCGTGCTCTAGTTGATATATGATATATATCTCATACACGGGAGAAACCCTACAATGAACATTATCACAGTTTTTGCATTGCCATGTGTACCACCAATACGTTTCTGGTGAGCAAATAGAAGTTCTGCAGGACTTTCCCACGTAGGTCCTTTTTCTGCTGTCCTTCATTCCTGCACAAGATCAAGGTTGTTCCCTTCTTCTGGCTTAGGTCGAGACACTTCCTTTAACACTTCCTTTGGCACACAGTTCACGGCATGAGTTCACCAGCCTTCTGTGTGTCTCAAAGTGGCCTTATGGTGCCTTCGTTCTTGGTGAGTGTTTGCCGTGGAGGTAGAAATGGACTTGCGTGATAAACATTTCTCCCCTTCCTCCCAAAAGTAAAGATGCTCT